TCGTCCATCCTCAATCCTCCACCATCAATACTCCAACCTCCACCCTGCGTCCTCCATCCTCAATCCGCCATTCTCCATCCTCCATCCTCCTCCTCATCCTCCTCAACCTCCTCCTTCTCCCCCGCCTCTTGCTCCTCCTCAACCTCTTTCCTCCTCCTCCTTCTCCTCCTCCTCCTCAATGTTCTCCTCCTCCTCATCCTCCTTCTGATCCTCCTTCTCTCTCCTCCCTCCCCCGCTTTCCGTGCGCAGTGTTCTTCCCCCATCCTCCTCATTCCCCTCGTCCTCCACCTGCGCCGCCGCCACATCCTCCTCATCCTCGTCATTTCCTCATCCACGTGGTTCTCATCATCCTTTTCCTCCTCCTCCTCCTCCTCCTCCTCCTCCTCATCCTCCTCCCTGCCTCCACCTCCACCATCATCATCAGCATCACCATATCACCACCATCATCATCATGGTCATGGTCGCCATCATGTTCATCATCATCATCATCAGCAGCAGCAGCATCAGCATCCTCATCGTCAGCAACAGCAGCATCATCATCGTCCGCAGCAGCATCATCATAATCGTCAACATCATCAGCATCAGCATCATCATTATCATCACCAGCATCATCATCCTCGGCAGCATCAACATCATCATCAGCAGCAACTTCATCACCATCATCATCATCAGCATCAACAACATCATCATCAGCATCATGAGCATCAGCACCATCATCATCAGCAGCATCATCCTCATCAACAGCATCAGCATCATCATAAACATCAGCAGCATCATCATCATACGTATGATCATCATCATCAGCAGCAGCCACAGCATCATCACCACAATCGCCAGCAGCATCCTCATCATCATCACCAACAGTCATCATAGTCATCACCATCAGCACCAACATGCTCAGCAGCAGCATGAGCAGCATCATCATAATCAGCAGCATCATCAGTACCGTCGTCGTCAACAGCTTCATCATCGTCATCATCAACAACATCATAATCAGCATCATCAACAGAAGCATCATCATCATCAGCATGATCAGCAGCATCATCATCATCATCAGCAGCATCATCCTCATCAACAGCATCATCATCATCATTAGAATCATCATAAACATCAGCAGCATCATCAGAA